TTTAAAAACAACAACAACAACAATAACAACAACAAAACACCGTGAGGCCAGTTATGGGGATGCACATCTTTAATCCCAGCACTCAAGAGACAGAGATAGACAGATCTCTGTGACTTCAAAGCCAACCTGGTCTAGATAGTAAATTACAGGCCAGCTAGGACTACATAGTGAGACCTTGTCTCAAAAAAAAGCTAACTAATTAAAATAAATAAAGTCTCTATCATGTATCAAGAATACCTGCTTTTGAACTACATTATATTCAGTGTTTCTCATTCGATGTACCATTTTTTAAGGCAGCCTCATGTAGCCCAGGCTGTTCTAGAACTTACTATATAACTGACGTTAACCTGAACTCTTAATCCTCCTGCCTCTACCTTCCACTTTCTAGGATACAAACGGGTGACACCAGGCTTAGTTTTCAGTTAGCTTTGCAGCACTGAGAACTGAATTCATATAGGTAAGTGCTCTACCATTAGGCTCCGTCCCCTACCATCTGCTTATTTTTAATTACCCTGCAATTCCTCAAAATTCCTGGCATTATCACAACAATAAAAACTAGCAGCTAACATTAACTAAATGTTCCTAAACGTAATTAAAAGCTTTTCAAACATTCTCTCTTGGTATTTCTCTCTGTAAGTAGGTACTATTATCACCATTCTAACTTTACAAATAAGAAAACTGAGGCAAAGAAATTAAAAAAAAAAATAAGCCAGCACTTGCCCAAGGTCATACAGTTGGCCAATGGCAGAGCCTGGATTCACATGCAGGTAATCTGGCTCCAAACTTCCTTTGTCTTTTGTTTTCAATACAATTACGATGTAACATCATCATTTATCATTTTTTCCCCCTTTTCAATGGTATTGGAGAACTGAGGACGCTAAGTGGATGCTTTCAGTTTACTACTTCATGGTGGAAACCCAGCATTTTAATATATCAGAACTATTTTTACCACAGCACACTGCTAATTGGCAGAAATCTCTTTTGAGAAGATGTAGGATCTAGTTACAGAAAAGAGACCTATGAAACGGTTTTCAATCAAGGTAAGGGGTTTCCAAAATAAAGGGCTTGAAAGTATTTTGAAAGGTTATTTCTAAAGTATAAATAAGGTTTTTTTTTTTTAAGAAAACACCTAATGAACACTGAACAAGTGTGTTCATGTTCTCAACAATTCATTAACTTACCACTACAACTGAGAGTATACTAAAGTCTATACCCTTCTCTTCCCTGACAACAGTTTTATAATTAGCTCTAACTCAATATACCCTCTCACATAAACTGTGCTACCAAATGGAGACGAAGAAGTCAGAGCAGCTGTCCTACTGCCCTGTTCTTGCAGAGCTTACAGCCTGAGCTCGGGGAGGCACACACACGTGAATAGAATTCCATGTGATCAGTGCTAATACAGGTAGCCCATGAAAGGTGACAGGTGACATCAGAACAGAGAGGGGACAGGCCTTCCAAGTTTCCCAGGAAATAACTGTTAAATTTAGTGTTAAAGAATCAGAGGCTTAGCTGGGTGGTGGTGGTCCATGCCTTTAATCCCAGCAGAGGCGGGCATATCAACGTGAGTTCGAGGCCAGCCTGGTCTACAAAGCTAGTTCTAGGACAGCCAGTGCTACACAGATATAAACTCTGCCTCAAAAATAACCAAAAAATTAAGAAAGAATAGAAGTTTTTCTGGAAATACTTCTTAGTGAAGGGATAATCAACTACTGGTTTGCAGATTAATGGGAGTGTATCACCTATTCCTAAAACTTGTCCTAAGATTATCTATGCCATACCTAGAGAAGAGCAGTACAAGTCACACAGGAAATTTGGAAGCCATTTTGAAAAAAGATTTATTTTTATTCTGTGTATGAGTATTTTGCCTTCAGTATGCATGTGCCCTAGGTGTATGCCTGGTGTCCAAACAGGCCAAAAGAGGGTTTGTTCCTTCTGCAAGAGCAGCCAGTGAGCTCTCTTAACCACTGAGCCATCTCTCCAGCCCCTGGAAGTCACTACTTGTTTTTCCCTCCTATTTTTCAATTAGTGATCAAATCTTATCTAATTTAGCATATGCATAGTTCAAACTACCTAACCATCCCCCAATTCCTACTTCCAGCCAGCCGCCTTTATTTCAGGCTGCAGCTCTCCTCACTTTGGTAACTGGAATCACTCTCTCTACTAGCTACAAAACCAAGTCTGATCCTGAAAATTCTCCTTCAGTGGTGCTCCTTCTATCTGGCCCTTTCCAGCCTCTAGCTGCCACTATGCTAAACTTGCTCTAAATCTTTGAAAGCACCATGCCTGGGTCTGCATAAACACCATATCCAAGCTACCTGCACCTGTGGTCTGCAGATCTACCTTCCCTTGCAAAAACCCATTCAGATTTAAGCAACTTTTCGAAAACATCAAATGACATTATTCTGTCATCCTCTTCTCCATTTGCTGATGAGAAACCTCTTTGGTGTGCCCCATGCCATACCACCTTATCAGGACACACTATCACAAATAATTTCATCCCAATTACTCTGCAATTGTCTGTTTACCTGATTTTCTAAGATCTGCATCATCAATCTAACAAGTACAGTAAATGCTACATAGGAAGAAATACCAAATGAAGGAATGAATGATGAACAGAGTTAAACCTAAGAAAGTTGATGGGACAATCAGAGATCATGGAGAAAAGACAGAACATTGAATTCCCACCTTTAAAGGGTGGAAATAAAAAACTAGAGAAGGGAACAAAATGGACAAAGAGGAAGAAGAAAACACCTAGGATCATACAGTGTTGTGACCCAAAGGAAGAGAAAATGCAGGTGGCCAACAGCATCCAACACTCAAACTGGTCAAAGGTGAGAAGACACACAAGGCCACCGCTTCAAAGGAGGTTTGTGGTGATCTTTATATCCTTAGTGCTAAGCCTGCTCCCACCTCACTCTTTTCAGAATTATCTATCACCAACTTCCTCAGCCATTTTGAATTTAGGACTTACAAACATCCAATGGTATAAAACTTACCTGTGCAGTATTTTCCCCATGATCAAAAATTTTTTAAATGGAGACTATGCAAAAACAAAAAACCTACCATGCTGATATAACCAAGTTTGTTTTGACTATTTCTTTTGTCATTTTATATTTTATAGGATTTTACACGATTTTTAAAGATTTTCTTAAAATGTGTTTGAGTGTTTGCCTGCAAGTATGTGCACTACATGCACACCTGATGCTGCCAGAAGCCAAAGGAGAGCATGGGATCCTCTGGAACTGGTATAGACGCTTGGGAGCCGCCATGAGGGTGCTGGCAACTGATGGGGTCTTCTGCAAGAGCACAAGCGCCCTCAGCCTCTGAGTCACCTCTCCAGCCTCACACAAGCGTTTTCTTCACTAACTCTATTGCCGAGTTATTTTCTTTTGGGACGGTGAAAGGTGGCTCACTATCACTGGATTTCTGATCTTGATTTATTTAGGCCTGGTTTTAGTTTTTTCATGTTCCGGGGTTTGGCTGCTAAAAATATGAAGACACTAGACAGAGAAACATCTATAGCAGCTGTAGAATCTCTCCGTAGGTAACTTCTTGTTGTTGTTTGTTTTTTGAGAAAGGATCTCTCTGTGTAACCCTGGCTGGTCTGGAATTTGCTATGGAGACCAAACTGGCTTGGAACTCACTGATCTGTGTGCCTTAAAGGTGTATTGCAGCTACACCCAGCTTACGTTTTTAATTGAATCTCTCCAGTTAAAATTAGACAAAATGATTTGTAAGTAATTTAATAAGATCTAAAGTGCAACATCAAGCATGCCTGTATAATAATTTGCTATAGCTAAGACAAATAATTTGCTATAAGCTAAAGTTTTCAATCCTCTTCCGAGCAATTTTTCACTCAGCACAGTCTACAGCTGACAGAAAAGTGGTTAAGCAGAAACAACATGGCCTTTCTAAAAGGAAGAGCTGCCCAGCCAAAAGCACCAGCAGTTTTACATTTTGCCACTTAGGTCCAAAATGTCTGCAAAAAAGCCCAGTATTTAAGCTTTCTTTTCACCATCCTTGCCAACATGGGTAGTTTTACTTTAATTAATCTTCACACCTAATAAGTAAAATATTATATTATTTTAATTATCATATTTATTTCACAGGAGTGAACTAAGTGAGGGTTATATTTACTGGCATTTATTTTTCAACATTTTATTACATTTATGTATTATTTATTTTATAAGCTGTATGTGTTGTGTGTGCATACATGTGCTTGTACCACAGCACATGTATGGAAGTCAGAGGATAACTTACGGGAGTCATTTCTTTGTTTCTACCATGTGGGTTCCAGAGACCAAACTCAGGTCACCAGGCTTGACAGCAAGCATTTTTTGTTTTTTGTTTTTTCGAGACAGGGTTTCTCTGTGTAGCTTTGCGCCTTTCCTGGAACTCACTCTGTAGCCCAGGCTGGCCTCGAACTCACAGAGATCCGCCTGCCTCTGCCTCCCGAGTGCTGGGATTAAAGGCGTGTGCCACCACCGCCTGGCTTGACAGCAAGCACTTTTGTCCTGAGCATTTCTTTATGGATTGACTATTCCTATGCAGTTACTTATTTTTCTAGTAGGTATAGATGACTAGTTTCTAGAAGCTCTTTATATTCATATTAATGACCCATTACAAATGCTTTCCATGGCTTTTGATTTATGGTATTTAATATAAAGGCTTTTTAGTTTAGACTATCACACTGTCTTTTATTTCTTCCTTAGAATCCCATCCTAACTTGAAGGTTATATGGACTGCCAGTGGTACTGGTGAGGTAATCTATGCTACCATCTAGGATACATTAAGAGAGTCTAATTTCCCCCAAACTTGTCATTACAATTCCAACAGTGGTCAATATAAAACATAAATTTAAAACTGAGGCCTATACTCTTTTACTTCAATGTTGGCTGTTAGACAACTTAAAGAAAAACAGTTTTGAATTTAGAAAATCCATTCAAAATTCCCTTTAACCCACAGGAAGCACAGACCTCTTGCTAGTGATCACCCACCTCTCAAGAACCTGTTAGGGATCCTTATGATGGGACAGGACTGAATGAAGCGTCTCCTAACTGGGTCCCATCGTATTTTCTTCTTACCTGTCACCACAATTATCAGCAGTAAGTCAGACACATACAACACATGGCAAATAATACATAGTTACTGTATTATAAAGACAGAAAAACAGGAAACAAAACAATACTTGAATACAGAAGGAAAGTGATATAAAGTATCATTTAACTCTGGAAGTTAAAATGAAGTAATACATAAGCAGTGATGAAAGTCTTTAATTCTTATCCCCCCCCCAAACAATACAATCATGTGCACCTTTTTTGAGCTGTGTCAATAACATGTACACTCAAATAATCACCAATGCCATCTTGTGGCAAAAATTTACCAGGAGTTAGAAGCAATTAGAAAGAACAGTCTTTTAAAGCCAATGAAGCCAAAAGGAGCTCTACCCAGAAGCATCAGGCACAACACAGGCTCCTCTGCTCAAGGTGTGGCACCCTTCTATACTAGTTATGAAGCAATGGATACTGGCTTATTAAAATTAAAATTAGATGATAACCAAGTCAAACAAACATTTGCTATCTGGGCACCTCCATGTAGCACAGGGAAGAGGAGTATATATGCCTTCCTAAGAAGCAAATTAGCTCCATACTAACCCCAATTAAAATTTGTTTTCTTACAAAATAGAAGAAAAATGTAATGCACTTACAGAACTGTTCAAAGGAGCAATTTTCTCCCTTCCCAACATTTTGAGACTCCCCATTAAAATAGCCCTTGTCAAAAACAAAAATTACCATTGTTTGCATAGCACATAAAGTTTATGAAGCTCTTCCATATACATGATATCACATAATTAATTCCCTCAACAATCCAGAACGGGCTCAGCACTCATTTTATTAGGCACCTGCTATGCCTGGATCCCTGTGTTAGGACCTAGAGCTGCAAAAGAAGGATATGACTTAGCCTACCTGGAAGAACTCATGCACAGGTAAGAAAGGATTTGTATAAACAAATAATCACATCACAGTGAAGTAAGTGTAATAAGAGCTATAAAACCACTCACAGATCGTATCATAGTCACCATGTTAGTAAGGAAACAAGGAAAACTGACTATGGAAGGAAAGGAGCTGGCCTAAACATCCCTTCTTTCCACTACATCACACCTACCCTGGCTCCAATTCCCTAGAAAGAAAATGGGCATTGTTTTAAGTGATTAGAAATATATTCCGATGCTCATCAGCAGGTCTAGCTTGTTTATTCAAACACTGACATGGAGAAACACAAATCCTGTTTAATGCAGCAGCATGACCTTCACAATACTGTGGAGAGAGACATGGGGAAATTATACTCCTGCAACAGGGTTTCTGTTTTTAATGCTCTGAAATCTTTTAAGTCTGTGCTTCCCAAATGTTAGCCTCTCGCTCACTTCTAAGTTAAGGTGAAAATTCCCAGCCTAATATAAAATGATAAAAATATGGACAAAAAGCTAAAATGTTCTCTTCAGAGCTCTATCCTTTTTTATTGTTAAATTTTCTTTATTTCCTAAGAGAATGGTGATAGAAAATTTTATTTGGTTTTATTTCTAAATGTCTTTGCCTAGAAAAATAGGAAATTTGCAAACCTAAATTTACTCTAAATATGCATATATATATATATATATATATATATATATATATATACACACACACACACACACACACACACACACGTATACTTTTAAATATACAAACTGTGACATCCAAAACCCTGGAGAACCACTGCTTTGAATCAATCTGATATACACTGATGACTCATGAGCCCAACACAGGAAGCCACACTGCCAAAGGGTCCTAACACACAGAAGAAACTTCTTACTCTCACTTGTGTTCCAATGGGAAAGACAAGACAGACACACAAAACAATTGACTAGCAGTACAAGACAGAATAGAACAAGTGGTTAGCTTAAATTTGACATTGTCACGTATCAAAAGCGTTAAAGTGTACATACCCTTTGACCCAGCTATTCCACTTCTAGGAATCTATTCCTAAAGAAACAATCATAGATGCATGGAAAGATGTATGGACAAAGATATTAACTATGATAATATTTATAATGGTAAAAAAAATTAGAAACACTTTCAAAGTCCAACGATAGGGAGATAGTTAAGTATGTTAGTTAAACATACTTAAATATGCTCATATGCTACATACCACTTAAAAGTTTATATAAATATTACCATTAACAAACATTCACAATATATTGCAAATGATCCATTTATAAAGTAGTATTATAGTATATAATTTTAGTTTAAAAAAGTATATGTTCATAAAAAATATAAAAAAGATATACAACAAAATTTAATTGTGATTATCTTTGGGTAGATTTTATAAATGATTTTGTCTTTATTTTCCATGCTTTCTCATTGAGTACCCATTACTTTTGGACTTGAAAAAAAAATACCATATTACTTTAATTTTTGAAAATATAATTTAAAAAATATTGGAAAGAAACACACCAAACTGTTAACAGTGTAGTTATGATGGAGGCTGGGATAATTACTCCTCCTATGTTAGCCAAAAATTATATGGCATATTATTTATATAAAATAATATAGTCACATGAAAATTCTTTTTGGTTTTTTGAAACAGGGTCTCACTGTGTAGCCGTGGCTGGCCTTGAACTCATGGAGATCCACTTGCCTCTTCCTTACTTGGATTAAAGGTGTGCTCCTCCACACCTGGCTACCATGTGAAATATAAAACTACTTTAGAATATTGAAATAACACTAAAAATTAGTGACTCAAAGCTATAACCAAAGATGTTTTGGAGGGCTGAGTGTGTAGCTCAGTATAGAGCACATTTGACCAGCTTGCACAAGACCCTGGGCTCGATCCTAAGCCCCACCCCATTTTGTTTTATTAGAACTTCTGTTAAACGTCTTTGGCATGTTTCTCTCACAGCAACCAATATATTACTTCTGTCTCAGAAGAAGCTAACGCTGACTCCATGGAAGTTATTCAATCAAAGTGGGTGCTGATTCAGGACCCATGTGCTCATATTCACCCAAAGCAGGGGTAGGGGAATAAAGAATAAAGAAGGAAAGGAGAGGAAAGGCACAATAGCATAACAATAACAACACAGCAGTAGCGTGCACATGCACTTTAGTATTTTTAAAGAAACATGCACCTTTTAAAATTCATATAAATTTATTCCTGACCTAAACATCTATTTGTTAAATTTTACACAAACATTAAGCTGCTTATGTATAGTGCTTATTTTAAAAGGAATCTTCACAAAGAAAAACATAATGTCCCCAATGATTTAATCAATATTTTACCTGCTAGCTTAATTTTTTTTTACAAAATTTACTTCACCATAGACAGACTAAAAATAAAGACTTAGAAAGACACAAGCTAACTCATCTTCTCCCCAAATCATAAATAATATCATCTTTTTATAAACCTACAATAGAAGCTAGACATGGTGGCACACTCATGCCTTTAATGCCAACACTTGGGAGGCAGAGGCAGGTGGATCTCTGTGAGTTTGAGGCCAGCCTGGTCTACAGAGTAATTTCCAGGACAGCCAGAACTACATGGAGACAGGGGTCTTGAAAAACAAAACAAACAAACAATCTACAATAGGAAGAAAACAAAAGGAAATGCCCTAATAGACTAAAACTATGAGGAATCAGTGAGAGATGAAAAAAAAGAAGGCAAAGCTGACAGCACAGACTAAGAATTCAGTCCCACAGGGCCAGGCAAGGAGTGGATGAGCGGTGGCTTTCCTGGTATAAACAGGTGAACTGAGGCCGGAGAGGGCAACAGCAGAAAGAGCGGACATAGTCTGTAAAACTAACCACATAGCTGGTTGGTGCTGCACAGAAGTAAAGTGAAGGGCCAACCCCGCCCATCTAGTTCTCTCTTTTAAGAAGAGGCATTTCTTCCCAGATAGGAATGGTGGCAATGACCAAGAATATGCTCTCCAGGTAGGAACAAAAGGAGCAGTTGGATCAGAGAAGAAGAGCCTTGTGTGGACAGCAGCATTCTGGCAGATAAGAGGCAGCTGCACTAGAGGATGGTAGGGATCAGGTACATCATTCAGTACTCTCTCATCCCTGCCACAATCAATGGGGGACCTGCACAGTACACCGAGGGAAGGTCACAGGAAGGCTAGCAATGACTCAAAGCAGGATGAACCAGCATAAAACCAAGACTCAAACATGAAAAAAGTCAGAAGGATTTAAAAAGTTAAGATACTGAAGAGAAGTCATCTCTACCAAAATTTGAAGCAGTTTTTTGTGGTTGTTTACAGAAATGAACAAATGACTCTTAAGCTTCATATGGAAATGGAAGGAACCCAGAACACCCCTACAATCTGAAAAAGAAAAAAGACTAATATTTTCTTTCTTTTTTCTTTTTTTCTGTTTTATGAGACAGGGTTTCTATGAATAGCCCTGGCTGTCCTGGAACTCACTCTCTAGACCAGCCTGTCCTCAAATTCACAAAGATCCGCCTGCCTCTGCCTTCTGAGTGCTGGGATTAAAGGCATGCACCACCACCGCCCCCACTAAGACTAACACTTTCTACTCCCAAACTTACTACAATGGTATAGCATTCAAAGTAGCAGGCACTGGCATAAGGAAGAACACTCATAAATAAATGATTTCCAGTGAGAACTCAGAGTGGGTGTGGTGGTACATGCCTATATTTTCTTAGCTATTGATGTGGCTCATGGTCCCCTGTACGGGTTTGTGGGGGTGTGGGGGTGACACGCCTCTAACCCCAGCACTCAGGAGGCAGAGGCCAGCAGATCTCAGTGAGTTTGAGGCTAGCCTGGGTTACAGAGTAAGATCCAGGACCCTATCTCAAAACAAACAAACAAGAAACAAAACAAAACAAACAAAAAAAGACCAAAAAAAAAAAATCAAACGAGAAAGCAGACTGAGCAAGCTTTCCATCAGCTCCTGCCTCCAGGTTCCTTCTCTGTTTGAGTTCCTGCCCTGACTGCATTCAATGATGGACTGTACTGTGGAAATGTGAAACAAACCCTTTCCTCCCCAAGTTGCTTTTAGTCAAAGAGTGTCATCACAGCAACATAAACCTA